CAAGTCGCAAAATAGCGCTGATTAGTCCCGATAAAACATTGATAAATCGCGACTAAAAATAAAAGGTCGCTAAAAACTCGCCGACTAATTGCGACATAACTTCGCAACAATCGAACACCAAGTCACGTAAAAGTCGCCGATTTTTAAGCGATTTTTATCACATGGGTATGCCCAGCGATCAACCCTGTATTCAGTTGTTCTCAGTTTTACTTTATACTTCAATGTCAAATGCTAAACATACTTTATTTGCAGACTGCATTGAACATATAGTAACACCCATTTTTAATCTACCAAGCAAATAGAACTCAGTTGCACACAAGAATGAATCATAACGTAATCAAGCCATCAGTTCGATCACCAAAATCAGGTTCGCGCAAATATTAATCGAATAATTAAGTTGTTCACATTTTGTATAATTGGTCAATTATTTATTCTTTTATTCTTTTCCAGTTTCTAATTCACCAAAATGTGTTGTGTGTCAAACGGATGAAAAGAATATCGCATGCATACCGTGCGGTGATTTTGCGACGTCTGTACCATGTGGCTATTCACTGAAAAAGTGTCCAATATGTCGACAAGATATTGTAGGATTTGTTAGAGTTTATTTGTAGTATGAGTACAATAATATCAGTCTGGTCACAAATGATGCGTAATTCAAACTATAACTTCTGTTTCTCTGTTGACGAACTTTGATCAAACGAGACTAATTACCGATAGTCGTATAATATTGACATTCTTTGACTTTTTAATGGTTTTCTTATAAAACTAATTCGTTAGTTTAATTTTTGGTGTTTATGACCTCACATGACGTTCGAGCTTTTGTTGTTGTGATGATCATGAAATATTACAAACGTTTTCGCATGAAATTTCGCTATCTATTATTCCAAGGTAGAAGATCAGAGAAAATAAAGAAAATGATGAAAGAGAAAAATTGTGGTATATCGGGTCAAACACAAGCAGATAATGTATGCAGCTACTCTTTAAATTGTGCCACTTGCCACTCTTGTTCACAGAACTTATGCCACTTGTCCTTCACAACGCTAAGTACTTCTTAAATAATTGTATTTGCATATTTTTTTAGTATTTCTTCTAATGTCATTACATCTGTTTTCGTTTTGTTTTTATGAGCCTAAAACATTTTGATATCATTTTGTACTAGACTCATGCTTCATTTAAAGATTTCCTCAAAGAGCGATTTCTCTTATATTTGTCGAGAAAATCAATTGAAGATAATTTAGCGGAGTGCGAGTGGTGTATAAGGGCCCCTTCCCAGAATGAAATCATTTTGTATCGAAAAATCAATTTGGAGACAAGCACATAGAAAGATAGCCTGAAGCGTCTACTTTCATAATCTGTATCGCTTTCGCTACCAGAACTGTATGTTTTGTGGCTTTCGAGCAAATGTTCTACAAGCCTTGAAAACCACAATCTTTAAATGATAATTTTTTTCTGGACACGTAGATTTGTAGAGCAGACGTTTTTGACCAAAATAAGACGTTACGCAACTCTGTATGCTCTTTCGTTCAAAAATTACAAGTATTTTCCTACATGTCCTAAAATAGACCAACGAAGGCACAGCGTTTTCTCCTAAAACACGTTCTTTTGTCTAACTTCGTCTACTGTGGATCCCTTTTCTTAATAGCGATTCATCAGAGAGAGAAATCTTTCTGTTTAATCGAAAGAGCATAAAATTCTGCTAGGACTGATGAAAGCAGATTTTTTAATTAGACCTTAGTTACTTAGGAAAAAGGAGGATCTTGCGTCTCTAGAGAACCAATAAAGATCTAATTAAAAAATCTGACTCCCAGTCAGGTATCTGGTTTAAAATAAAACCAACCCGAGATCTCTATCTTGAGCTGTATTAAGGAAAAGGGGTCTACAGTGAAGCGTTGCTTTCGGCCTTAGACTCTACAAAACTTCGGAACGGTAACAGATAGAGACTAAAAGAAAATATTGTGATCACATGTTTGAATGTACAACATCTGCTGAAACTTTCATCAAAATCAGTAAGATAAAAAAATTTTTTTTTCCTAAGAGGGTCCTTAAAGAACCATTTTAGAACCGAGTAGTGTTTAATCTACAAAAAGGAGTAAACACAGGTAGATGGTAGGGACAACAGAAGGTGACAAGAGGAATTAAGGTTTAAGAAATGAAGGGTGGACTATACTGTATGTGTAATTCTCCTAGCTAATATTGTTTCTTGTATAAAAAAAAGTTTTTATCGTGTAATTCAACAGAGTGTTCCTAGAGATTCAATAATGTTTGATAAGTGCAGTCCGACTGTTCCTATTTGTTTTCTTGTTGTTCAGCTTGGAAAATGAGACCTTGATAGTTTGGCGGTTTACCATTTAATAATTCGAGTTCATTTCCATTATTTTCTTTGTCGAGTGCATTGGCACGTAACATGAGTTTTTTTGAACGGGTAAAATTGGTTAATGCTTCCTGTGAGTTATGTGATTTCAAATAAATATTGCCTTTTTCCATAAAATATTTCCCCATATCACGTGTTATTCGTGCAAGTAAATTTTCTTCATGTTCAAACATTAATAATTGTTTTTCGTCACCAATATATTCCATAGCTCAATTAACATGAGCTGATATGTTACCACAGAATACATAAATGAAATCAACATGTGAATATTCGAAAATTTTTGACATGAATTCTTTACCTAATGTACCAGATATGATAACGATTATGCATTTGTCTGCATTTTCAGTTAGAAGTCTCAAGAAATCTTCTGCCTTATCGCACGCTAATAATGGATAATCTTGAATGGATTCAGCATTACGTACACTAATTAAGTTATCGATATCAACTTCATCTTTTTTAGGTATACTGATATAATCTTGTGTTGGATCGATTGTCATTCCAAATTCTTTTTTTAATAACTTATAATAATCTGGACTACCGATATGTAGATCAAACCAGATTATCAAATATTCAATGTCAGTTTTTGAGTTATTCGTTTCATTTTGAGTATCCTGTTCATAATTATCTACACCTATAAGAAAAAGATCATATATTACTTGGACAAACAGAACATTCTGAGGCATAAAGTTGCATCTAGATGCACGTGGACCTGAATCTAGATAAATAACCCAAAAAATTGGGTCGTTTTTGCCTGGGATGGTGCACATTCATATCGACATCAAGATCGTTTTTTAATGTATTTTCAATATCAAATAATTTATCGCTTGGACGCAATTGTATCATTTTTATTGAATAATCAAAATAAACGGCTGTATCAACTAATGCCATCTACATAAAGTGCTAAAACGAACGTCTAGTGAATACGAAAAATACGTTTTTTTAACCGATCAAGTCACTACTTCTTTTTCACGTTCGTGTTTTTTTTCCGTTATGTGTCACACAATAAACTACTGATAAGAGAGATCATACAAAAACCTTTGGTTTCTTCCTACATGTCTTGATCTATTTTCTTATTCGACTTCTTGCAAGATTCTTGTCTCTTGACATTTCAGTTAAAATTCTTATTTCATTTTTTTTTATTTAGAATCCTTTTTCAAGAAGTCAGACAAACTGAAATGACTAGACTTATCAACAATGTAATTACCAACTTGTTTGATAGACGTCTGTGATATGCATAACAAATGTTATCAATCAGAAGTTTTTTAAAGACTTTTATTATTCTAACTCGATTTTTGTCAAGAGACGATTGAATCAGTACAAGTACAAGCAGAGTGGTCACATAGGCGGCCCACTGAGGCTCAAACTCACCTAATTTTGGCCTTAACAATCCGTTACAGACCATAGTTTTCAGAGTCTTTTATGTGCTTGTGGCAGTTTCCGTCTTCGGAGAGACAGAAAATATACAGTTCTCCGATAAATGTTGTTAATAACAATCGTCTGTACACGACATCATTAGTTTTTTATTCTAACAAACCGAAACTTCTGATTACCATCTGTAATCATCGTCACCTATAGTTTACAATAAAAAACACTCGATTATATAAACATTAGAGCCGTATCAAATAAGAGATATCTTCTTTGCTTTTCTACAAGACACCAAAGCATAAAGACGTCAAAACAATGGTACAATGTTAAAACTTCGTATGATTTAGTACTAAAGTTACCAACAGCGCATGAACGCAGGCGGTGTGGTAAAGGTGGATAGTTAAATAGTATGGTAGCTGTTTTTCCTGAGATTTTTGAAAGAGAGGATATTTTGAAATTCACAGCGAATTATAACTTTTCATCCTGTGCTAAATGTTCATTATCAGCTCAGGGCTAACTTACAGAAACTAGAAGAAATCAATTTAAGGCTTTTCTTGTAAACTCGATAACTTTGCAAAGAAAGGTTATGTAGAGGTGAGAGATCTCTCATTTTAATCAGAAACTTGCGGTCTACAATCTTACCATATTAAGAAAAGTTTTGATTATTTTTTAGAGTTGCTGAAAAACTGGTTTTCCAGAAAACCGGATCTTCTGGAGTCATGGGCCCGAATCCTTTCAAGGTATGTACTATCTCACTATGGTCTACCGATCCACGTATACATCACTGGAATCGAAGGGAAGCACTTCCATAGGTTTCCTCGTAAGTCGATTAATGTATATTTCTATCCTAGGGATGCACCAATTCTAGAATTGGTTTTTTGGATGTAGGTGAAGTTAGCAGCAGATTTTAGAAATTTACCCTGATATTTTTTGAGGATGTATACACTAAAAGCTGACAATTGTGCAATATTCAGCATCAAGTCTACTCATCGTACATTCAACTGAACTATTTCAAAACGTGAACTTCATTAGGAAAAAATAAAAATACACTGAAAAGTCGAATCTTCTAGCGGCGGATTTTGACGTTTTACCAGCAGATTTTTCTAGAGAGCTTTACAATTAATTTAAATAATACCAATCGATTGTACAACTCGAGAACTATGCTGTACACTCAATTAAAATCTTTAGAAAACTTTTTAAAAGCCTGAAAAAAATTAAAGTTTTTGTAAGATTTCCAAAAATCTCATTCAATATTTTCCAGGCAGACAAACATAGTCAATGCGTTACAGTAGCCCGACTCCATTAATGACAAGTTTCTTAACACTACAAAACAGTTTACAGATCATGCCATTCCCGTTAAAGCCTCGGAATTCTCAGAAAACTATTTTACAAAAGTTTGGAGATATCCCAAGTTTTCCAGAGAACCACTATAGAAGGATTTCGAGCCACTTGGAAAGGGAAAAGGCTGAAAATCGTTTAAATGATACCAATAGATTCAGCACCAGCAACAGCCATCGTCACTTCTGGAACCGCCTCAATGATCAAGAGTGTCTACCAAGCACATTAAGCTGGTTGACATTGCTTCTGTATACAAGACGTTAACTTTTTATAGTTGAAAAATTATAAAAATATATTTTTCTATGTTTTGGTTGTAACGTTGGAAACTTGAGATTTCGCAATTGTTAAAAATGTGTGGACAATATGTGTGGAAGAAATGAAGAGGAAGAAAGAAACGCACAAAGTCTGATGTGTCTTTTTTCTGGGTGTTATCGACGGAATGATTCCTGTTATACGTTAGTCAACTAATGGTGCTGACGTTCTGTTGAACGGACGAGAAGTCATTGTTGGTTCTTAACTGTTAAAAACTTTTAAAGAAGAAATAATGTTTTCTTGTTCCCGATCGTTTTAGTAGAGACATCATACAGCATAGTTCTCGAGTTGTACAATCGATTGGTATTATTTAAATTAATTGTAAAGGTCTCTGAAAAAATCTGCTGCTAGAAGATTCGACTTTTCAGTGTATTTTTATTTTTTCCTAATGAAGTTCACGTTTTGAAATAGTTCAGTTGAGTGTACAATGAGTAGATTTGATGCTGAATATTGCACAATTGTCAGTTTTTAGTGTATACATCCTCAAAAAAATATCAAGGTAAATTTTCTAAAATCTGGTGCTAACTTCATCTACGTATTTTTTGGTGCACCTTCCAAAATAATTGTATCCCTCAAACCATTTACTATCACTTTTTATCCACAATGTAGAATTGAAGCGTCGACTTTTCTCTGCAAAACCGGCTATTTCGAAATTTTGCGGCAGCATTGGATTAAACATTATACACTATTTTTAAAAAGCGGAACTGGAATTGGAATTGGAATTGGTGAAGAGGTTAATTGATCAGGATTAGTTAATATTTTTCTTGTTTTCGCCTCCTGAAATTCAAATACACACTTCATTATATCTCATTTTGTAGAGAAAAATCTGTCAAACAATCGGATGTATGCAAAAAACATCATCAAATATAAAACAAATAGTCTTAAAACTGAAAGTCAACTAAAAATCTCGAAACACACTAAAATCTAGAGGCAAGATATTAAAGAATTTTTCCAGTTTTTACAACCTTCACGTATTTTTGATTTTTCGGCATGAAAAACGTTTTATGGAAAATTAAAAAGTACATTTTCTTAATCAGCTAGATGAACTTTATCCAGGGATGTATAATAAATTAGAAAAAACATTTTTTTGCGAGTTTATGCACACCTTATTCTGCCTCCTCTAATTTCAAGGTGCTCCTCCGCCTATGAGTAGTCCAACAGTGACTTTATCGAGATAAAGTGTAACTTATTCGTTCAATTGTCTGATGATTTTTATTTATTATTTTCAGATGGAGAGACGCATGACACGGACAGCGTGCCTTCAGAGTGTCCTCAGAAGTCCACATAAATCCAAAATATAAATAAT